GTTACTTTGGGGGAGGGAGGTAGGAGTTGCCACTTGAGTGCTTTTCTAAATGTACAGCAATCTAAGTTAATTAAGCATGCATGATATCATTCCAGTCAGCAGGACAAGATAATGTCCATCTTGACTGTAATGATGTAAATGTCCTTCGCTTCCATTAGATCTATCAGAGAGTAATATATGTCATTTGTCAGAGTAACATCTCAGATGATGAAGAAATTCTGTATAGGGTGTGTGAGGCGTGAGCAAGTAAAGAGTCCGTATGAAATTTCATCCCCCCTTAATGTTTTGCATGAGCTCTTTTTGGTTGACGTTACGTGTTTTGAGTTTTGTAGAGAAATTACATGGATCACTCTTGCACCGATGCAGGCATGGGGCAGGTGGGTTGGTTCTGCAAACGTACAACGTTGCCTTCCTTCAGGACCTAGGAACCACTCGAAGCATCTCTTCTTCGTGAAATTGTTAGGGGAAAAAAAAGAAAATTAATTCCTTGTATTGCCAAGTTAATTTCCGGAATGAATTTCCTCTGCATTCTTGCATGGTGTGTGCTCTGAGAGGTGGTGGAGCTTAGGGAGTGGTATTGGAGCACTGGAAGTCCAGGTCGCTGCTGCACAACATAAAGCGGTGGCTTTTAAGCGCTCCTGATAAAACCCACTTGGCAGGCGCTGAGAGTGCTCGTTTTGCAGTACTGTGCTTTGCTGCCCTGGACTATTGCTAGCGTTTCGATTTCTGCCTGGGGTCGGGCCCAGCCTGACTCCCTTTCTTCTCTCCTGCATTGGCAGTCTTCCTGTCCTGACCATCAACAACACTGGAGGTAAAACCAACCGACCGCTTGGTTTGGCTGCTGGATGGCGGTCCTTAGCTTACATGGGTGTCTCTGCAGAAGTGCAGAGCAACTCAAACCTCAGAAGACAAGAAAAACTAAGATAACTTGAGGTTGTTAACATCCTCGACCAAATGGATGCCTTGGTTATCTCCTGCTGATTTGGTTCTCTCCATCCTCCCTTTCTTCTTGGAGGCCTTGTTTCTTTACCTGGATTTAGGCTAGTGCGGGGCTAACGTTTTAAGTTAGCATCGCCACCGAAACACTGCTCATTTCAGCTGAGACCACCATTGTGTCCATTACTGATTCCAGGGTGTAAAGCAGACAGATTATTTATCCTGCCCTGAGGAAGAAGAGGAGGAGTTAAAATCTAAGAGCTGCCACTCATAGGCATGAGTGCTGACTAACGCTTAGTATCTTGAGTAGACGGAAATCAACTTGGACCTTGTCTGATGAATGCCGCCGCTTTTTTTTTTTCAAATAGAGCTATACAGAAGAATCGAGAAATAAATGCGTTCACTTAAGATAACATTGTGTGACAGCTGAGAACAATTAAAACTCTTACTTGCAGTTATATTTTTTTTTCCATCCTTTCTAAAGTAGGAGGGTGGTGTCTGCAGCTCTGAGTAGTTGATACAGGGTATTTGTCACTGGTCTGATCTTATCTAGAACACGTATCGTGCAAGGTTATTTATTTTACAGCCTTTTCTCCTAGTTTTGCACAACACACAGATCTTGGTAGATGGGAAAGGATTTTTTTTTTTTTTCTTACTAGAGTCTTTTTGGCAATAAACACACGCCTAACTGTAAGAGAAAAAACTTTCACAACCGAGCTTGTTTTGTGAAGCCCAAACATTTGTGAAGCTTACAAACCTTCAAACTTTGCATAATGTGCCCATCCCTGGTCTCAAACATGAGGTGGCAGAAGAGGGAAGTGTTACTTTTTTTAACCAACAACTTATGACTGTGTCAACACATGACAATTTGTCAAAGCTTGCTGTAGCGGTGCTGTAAATTAATTTTTAGCATCAGTTGTGAGTGGTAAACACTTTGTGCGGTGTGAACAGCTCTTAGTACAGTGTGAGTCGTCAGCAGCTTGTGAGCTACCCTAAAAGAAAAAAAAAGCAAAGGAGGGACTTTGGGGGAGGGAGGTAGGAGTTGCCACTTGAGTGCTTTTCTAAATGTACAGCAATCTAAGTTAATTAAGCATGCATGATATCATTCCAGTCAGCAGGACAAGATAATGTCCATCTTGACTGTAATGATGTAAATGTCCTTCGCTTCCATTAGATCTATCAGAGAGTAATATATGTCATTTGTCAGAGTAACATCTCAGATGATGAAGAAATTCTGTATAGGGTGTGTGAGGCGTGAGCAAGTAAAGAGTCCGTATGAAATTTCATCCCCCCTTAATGTTTTGCATGAGCTCTTTTTGGTTGACGTTACGTGTTTTGAGTTTTGTAGAGAAATTACATGGATCACTCTTGCACCGATGCAGGCATGGGGCAGGTGGGTTGGTTCTGCAAACGTACAACGTTGCCTCCCTTCAGGACCTAGGAACCACTCGAAGCATCTCTTCTTCGTGAAATTGTTAGGGGAAAAAAAAGAAAATTAATTCCTTGTATTGCCAAGTTAATTTCCGGAATGAATTTCCTCTGCATTCTTGCATGGTGTGTGCTCTGAGAGGTGGTGGAGCTTAGGGAGTGGTATTGGAGCACTGGAAGTCCAGGTCGCTGCTGCACAGCATAAAGCGGTGGCTTTTAAGCGCTCCTGATAAAACCCACTTGGCAGGCGCTGAGAGTGCTCGTTTTGCAGTACTGTGCTTTGCTGCCCTGGACTATTGCTAGCGTTTCGATTTCTGCCTGGGGTCGGGCCCAGCCTGACTCCCTTTCTTCTCTCCTGCATTGGCAGTCTTCCTGTCCTGACCATCAACAACACTGGAGGTAAAACCAACCGACCGCTTGGTTTGGCTGCTGGATGGCGGTCCTTAGCTTACATGGGTGTCTCTGCAGAAGTGCAGAGCAACTCAAACCTCAGAAGACAAGAAAAACTAAGATAACTTGAGGTTGTTAACATCCTCGACCAAATGGATGCCTTGGTTATCTCCTGCTGATTTGGTTCTCTCCATCCTCCCTTTCTTCTTGGAGGCCTTGTTTCTTTACCTGGATTTAGGCTAGTGCGGGGCTAACGTTTTAAGTTAGCATCGCCACCGAAACACTGCTCATTTCAGCTGAGACCACCTTTGTGTCCATTACTGATTCCAGGGTGTAAAGCAGACAGATTATTTATCCTGCCCTGAGGAAGAAGAGGAGGAGTTAAAATCTAAGAGCTGCCACTCATAGGCATGAGTGCTGACTAACGCTTAGTATCTTGAGTAGACGGAAATCAACTTGGACCTTGTCTGATGAATGCCGCCGCTTTTTTTTTTTTCATATAGAGCTATACAGAAGAATCGAGAAATAAATGCGTTCACTTAAGATAACATTGTGTGACAGCTGAGAACAATTAAAACTCTTACTTGCAGTTATATTTTTTTTTCCATCCTTTCTAAAGTAGGAGGGTGGTGTCTGCAGCTCTGAGTAGTTGATACAGGGTATTTGTCACTGGTCTGATCTTATCTAGAACACGTATCGTGCAAGGTTATTTATTTTACAGCCTTTTCTCCTAGTTTTGCACAACACACAGATCTTGGTAGATGGGAAAGGATTTTTTTTTTTTTTCTTACTAGAGTCTTTTTGGCAATAAACACACGCCTAACTGTAAGAGAAAAAACTTTCACAACCGAGCTTGTTTTGTGAAGCCCAAACATTTGTGAAGCTTACAAACCTTCAAACTTTGCATAATGTGCCCATCCCTGGTCTCAAACATGAGGTGGCAGAAGAGGGAAGTGTTACTTTTTTTAACCAACAACTTATGACTGTGTCAACACATGACAATTTGTCAAAGCTTGCTGTAGCGGTGCTGTAAATTAATTTTTAGCATCAGTTGTGAGTGGTAAACACTTTGTGCGGTGTGAACAGCTCTTAGTACAGTGTGAGTTGTCAGCAGCTTGTGAGCTACCCTAAAAGAAAAAAAAAGCAAAGGAGGGAAGGATAAAAGCTCATTTACTAGTACAAAATGGATCTGAGTCTGCAAAAATTTGACATGCGGTGGTATGGTTTTTTTCCTCCATACCAGTCAGCTCAACCTTGCAAATTTGGTTTTTCCGTTAATAATAATCACCTGCAAAGTTGGGAGATCACAACTCTCCATCCCGTGCACTAAGTAGTGCCTGATAGCAAACAGGTTTCTCAGGCTCGTGGCTAGATAAAGTAGAGCCCTCTCCTTGCTCTTGGGTTTTGCCTTTGCTTGCTTGCTTTAAAAGCAGAACGTGTCCTGCAAATGCGAGCATGCTCTTTTGTTGAGAAGTCTCGCATAAACGACATAAAATGCCCGGGAAAAAAAATGAGATGGCAGCCCAAAGAGAAATGATGGGGCCTGAGTGCTCTCTCTTCCTCACCTGTCCCCTTGCTGTTTCTCCTTGCCTATCCCAGCTGCTGTGGTGGAGCTGGCAGTGATGGTTCATACAACAGAAGTTGACGTGGTGGAAGAAAATAATTTGGTACGAAAAGCCAGGGAATATGTATTGTAGAAAGCAACTTTTCAGATACAAACCTATTTTAACCTGTCATTTTAGCAGAACAAGCAGTAATAACCTCCCAACCTAACAATGACTGTTAAGTTGACATTAATTCGCTCAGTCGTTGAATTGCTAGCATGTCTACAACTTACAAGTGAACACCCACTCAAGAGAGAGAAGAAAGAAGTTGGTGCCTGGAATTCCTGGCCTTGCTGAAATCACCTACATTTTTTGGCGCTAACGCCGGTATTTCATCTTGCGTTTCCTGCAAATGTTTTAAGTAGAACTAGATGAGAAAAACAGCTGCGCGTGTTTGTTCGCTGCTTTGATACGCTCGGCATGGGGCTTTTTTCTCAAGCGCAGCCGCTCTCGGCTTCAGCACCCTAGGTAGACTTTGACTGCGCCTTGTTCCTGTAAGCAGGCGGCACATGTGAAGCTTGGCATGAGAACTTTATCGAGCCCTGCTAAAGCTAGTTGTAACCTGGTTATGGTTTTAAAAAGAAGTGCGACTTTATTTGCGTATTTGCTCACAAAGAATTTTGGTTTTATTTCCTTTTCTAGATATAACTGTAGGTGCTGCTTGTATGAAAGAGCTGAGCCACACCATCCAGTAAACTGTCTAAAGCAGCAGTTGGCTTGCTTGGAAATCACTTCCAGGACTGTGTTGTAAGTAAGTATTTTTGCAAAAGCAGCATCAAATGGTTTCTTCAGTTTTGGGGCATTTTTTAGATGTTTTGATTGTTCCTTATAATTTCATAGTTTTACTCTAACATCTAGTAGACAGTAGCAATGCATGTGGGAACACGAGCACTCCCATGTCTGAAGCATAGAGCTAAAGCCCTTTAAAGGCTCTTTGCTGACTTGCTCTAAAGCTCCCCGGCACAGTACCTGAACACTTCTGAGAACAGGTAGCTACCTATAAGCCTAGAAAGAAATTGGCAAAATATGTATTGATCTATTTTGCCATTCGCTCTGTGGCATACATGTTTTTTGGGTGTTCATCCCTGCCTACATTTTCATACTTCAGCATTTTAGCTATGCCGATGTAGCCCTGCTAGGGCAAATGCTTTCTGGAGATATTCCAGGGGCATAGGGTGTGATCTGCCTAACTCAATTTGAAATACTCCATGGATAGCTGCCCCAACTGATTGGAAAAGGGCACTGGTTTGTCTCTTCTGACATGCTGTGGGTATGGCTAGGGAACCTCAGTAGGCTGTGAATGGTGGTGTATTTGGTCAGCTGCATCTGCATCTGTCTCTGTGATGAGTATGTGTCGATGAAAAAGACGCCATTTCAGGTTAAAAGCCAATTGCATTGAGTATGGCATTGAGAACATGTTTGCACTTAAAGTGAATAACATCATCTTAGAAAACTTCAAGATGTACACCAAGAAAACCTCATCATGCCATTTATACAGTTCCTTCTGAAAGCATAATCTATTTGGGGATGTTTGTGACCTGAAATTTTATAATTAGTTTATTTCTTTTTATATTGTCTTCATTTTTCTGCGGCTGATGATGCAGGTTATGAGAAGTATGATATAAGAAGTATTTATGACTTAAGTGCATTTCCCTTGAAATGGCTTCCGATAATACGATCGCTTCAGAGAGCAAGGGTGGGAGGGTTAGTGCCCTAGGGCTCAAATCATTTAAAGTTAAGCACATGATACCAGCTGCTTGCACTGCTCAGCACCTTGCAAAGTATTCCCTACAGGTTACATTTGCTGTACGTAAACTAGTTTTTTAAAAAAATATATATTTGCTAATCCCAAGACTGAGCCCTTTAAACCCAGTGGTAAAGCAGTTGAGTCAGTCTTTTGGAATAGGTTTCTTGTTTGTGGATTTTTGTTCTCTGCAGTCGACTGAAACACCTGAGTCACTCGCCGGGTGAGGTTGTGCCGGACAAAAAATCCTTGCCTCAGCTCTGCCAGGAGTTACCTGCCAGATGCACTGACTGCCATTTCATCCTTGCTCTGCGTCCACCGGACCCGTGGGGTACTCAGCCCAATTCCATGTGGGTGGATGTGAATGAGATGAAAAAAGGACCCGGTTACTGTCAGTGGTGGGACACCTCAGCTGTGGCAAGTGGGCAGAGAAAGAGTGAGGGAATTGCTTGGGGGAAATCAGGACTTAGGAAATTCTAAGAAAATGTAAATTAAATAAATGCTGTGTGTTTATTTAATTTCTAATGAGAAAAATCAGAAATTTAGAACAAGATAAAACATTTGTTTTCAGCATCCTGCCTGTAAATGGTCTGTCTGCTTCTGGAATTTAAGTTCTGATCCAAGCCGCCGTTGGTTCCAGTGCAGGAGGCAGGAGCCTGGCACCCCTGGGGTGGACAGGCGCTTCTGGTCCCTTCCTGCACGGGGCTGCAGCACTGGCCAGCAAGAAGCCCTGCTGCGACCCAGCCCCGGGCTGGCACCCCTGTGGAGTTGCCCGTAAGCCTTGCGGCTGCTTCAAGGGGAGCTTTTCACTCTCTTGCCATTAGTGCTGGATTTTCATTCATTTTATGTCATGGTGTTTGAATCACTGCAGCACCAGGAGCTGGAGCTGTGCGTTTATTTAATTTACCCTGAGGTAGTCACTACTTGTTTGGTAGAGCGGGTTTGTACCTGGTGTCGCGGGGCGCACACTACTGAGACAATCTCAGTTATATCAGTTCCTTGAAGGATTCACTATTCCAGTGCGGCTTTCTGCCTCATGTCCTTCCAATTTAACTGTATTAGTCTGTTTAATGGTGCCAGAAGGCCACATATTGGCTCTCCGTGAAGCCTCAAACAGTAGATGCATGCTTTTAAATAGTTAAATAAATGTTAATTATGATTCACGAATAGTTTTTCCCCAACTATTAAGTAATATCAAACACTGAATTTTTCAATCAGTAATTGTTTTTCCAGCTGCCGAGTGGGACCAAGTATTCAATATTTTTAGAGGGTTATTTTTGCAGCTGCTCGGCTGCTTTAAGCATAAAAGTCTTAGGTTTTTCTGTAGGGCTTGACAGCCTTGGATGAACAGTGGGCACAAGTTAGTGAAAGCCTGTGGTGGAAGTGGAATGATGACAATCTTCTGGTGCACCTTGGTTAGCTGTGGATAGTTTGGGCTGCATCCAGATAAGCTGAAAATAGCATATTGGACACTTTTGAAAGTTTGTGGTTTTGCAGCTTTTTCTCACAAAAATCTGAAGTCTCTTTCTTTCTCACTGTGCTAGTTATTACACAGGTGGAAATTAGTTATTTTTTCCCTCTCAAGATCTTGAGACTTTCTCTCAGGGATTCAGCCAGTGTGAATTACTTCATGAAAAAACGGTTTGACTTGTTGGATCTCCTTGCAAATAGTATAATACCACAGAATTTTGTCTTAGAAATACATATTATGTGCCTTTCACTGAAAGATCTTAAGACATTTTCAAATATCAATTAAACCACAGATCATGATGATAGAGGAAGAGACACTGTTCTCACCCGTCATGAAGACTACCCTGGCTGTGAGTACATTGCTCACATTTGCCCAGTGATTCATTAGCCGAGCCAGTAAAACAATCTAGGCAGTCTGATGCGGTGGCTTACTGGTAGGTTTTTTTCAGCCGATTGCTCATTTTGACATGATGCATAGCAGCATCGGAGCATTTACTTGGGAACTTACCTTCTTTGTGCATCTCCTTTCTCTGGTTTTCCCACCAGATCTGCTCTGCTGCCTCACAGCACCACTGTTTGCATGAGCAGTTGCTGTAATTCTTTGAAGCTGTGAATAAGACATCTTCTAAATATCACTCGTGTTTTGATGAAGCCATAGTTGTGAGCACAGAGTGCACAAAGGACACTTGACAGTGAGAGCTAGAGAGAGGCAGATTTTGGTAGGGGAGAAGACCAAATAGTGAAGGTTAAATTCTGTTTAATGTTCAGTTGTGTTGGGTGTTTAAGCCAAAATGAAAAAGAAGCGGAATAAAAAGCTTCTGCAAAGCAGAAGTGTGAGTGAAATGAAACGTAGTGGCTAGACAAATAAAAAAACCGCATTCATTAAAAAACCCACCAAACTTAAATTTCAAAGCCCCGGTAGAAGAGGTGATCTGTCGGCCACCCGGCTTGGACTGGGCACCCAACTGGAACTCATGGTCTGGGTTCAGTTCCCCACCCCGGTCACAGGTTTCCGGTGTGTTCCTGGGCAACCTCCTTCATCTGCCCCATGACTGACTTCCTCATTTGTGCAGTGGGGATCGTCCTCCTCCCTTCCATCGTGAGGGTGAAGCCTAGTGATGCTGCTGAAAGATGTGGATGTTGTGGCAGGGAGAGCCAGCCCGGGGACTAGAGCAAGAGGGATGCGCTTCCTCACAGGGGATAATCACCCATGCTGCTTGCATTTCAGTGTTCAAGAGTAGAGGAAATGATTTCCAGACTTAGAAAGGGTTGGTTTTTTTCTTTCTGAGTCTTTCAAGCCTGTTTCTCATGGTGTTTGGCTGCCCTGGTGCAGCGGCAGGCATTTGGAGTATTCCCTGTCTCTCGCCTTTCTCCTCACAGTCTGTCTTCTCATGGCTTGGAGTCATTCCTGTCTGCTCGACACACGCGACCCACACAAACCCAACGGGATCAGGAACGCAGCTTCTGTCATCTCCCGAGTTATGCAGAGATCTCTTGACATTTAAATATAGTTGCGTGTTAGAAAGAAACCGAAGAATGCTTGAGTGTGGTCAGGAGGTGACCCTAGCAGTCGAGGAAGGTGGTATGAGGGAGCAGGCCATCACCTTCCCAGCCTCCTGGCAAGGTGTGTGCTGGCACAGTGTTGCTGCACCTGCTGAGGGTGTCCAGATAGCCCACCACCATGGTTGGCCTTCAGCCCCTCTGCTCCTCCACTCAGCCCCTGATAGGCAAATACTCATTTAAAAGATTTTGATATGAATTCACCCAGTGCTGATGCTAATTCTGAGTAAGGAATCAGAAATGACAAGTCACATGCCTTTTGATGTGTCCTTTTATCTCCTGTGGGTTGGTAGTTAAACTTTTCTCACCCCTTAGAGGAATTATTTTTCTCTGGGAAGAGGGTGTGGAGTCCCATACACTCTTTTTCTCCTCCAAACATTAGTAATGCTCTTCTCCAGCCACTGACAAGATCTTGAAAGTACAGACAGGTTCATATTCAGACCAGAACCACATTTTGTTTTCTATTTGATTCTGCTACAACAGCTCATGCTGCTTCCTGTCCTCCCACCTTCTTACTGCCTTCCCTTTTTTTGGCCTTGCTTTCACAAACCTTCCTTTGACCTGACCCTCAACTTTCCCCAAGCTGCCAGTGTTAATAAGAGATCCTCCTCTTTGGGACCTACGTAGTCCGCCCATCCCTGCCATATTTCAGTCCTCCTCCCGTGGCCACAGAAATGCTTTCCCAGCCTTGCTTTGAGATCCATACTCACCTGGACACTGGAATCTGCCACTGATTCTCCCTATGCTGACCCTTCCGTGTGAAGTTTCTTCTCCGTCGTGGCTCGTGTCTGGCAGGATACAGAAGTAGCACAAGGTGCTCTTCCCTCCCAGGTCCTCCCTCCTCTACTTGTTCTTTATTCCTGAATGGCAGCCCGCCTCTGTCTTGGGCAGGTTGACTTTTCTTCAGTAACTCTCTCATCAATTTACTTTCCTGTTTATTTTTCCCCACCGTTCCACTGCACCCAGCTTTCCCTCTC